GAGTTTGATTCAAAAATCCTATCTCCAAGTATTTCGCTGCTGCTGTTGAATCGCCAAAACCTGAGTGGTTGAGATCTTCCCAATCCGATTTTTTTTAGCTCTTCTGTTTTAGAACTGAAAATCTCCAACCGCCAGCCTCCTGTGGTCGATCTGAGCCAAGAAAATTGAACCCCTAACTCTGTTGAGTTTGTTGAGTTTTTATAGGGGGATAGGAGGTTGTAACTAACCCCTATATCCGCTCCTACGTGGGCGAAAATCCCTCAGAATGTGGGATAAATGGTTCTGAAACCGTTCGACTCATGTTTGAACGAGTCAAACGCCCAATCTGGCGTTTAGCACCCAACTTCGCCTCTTAGAATTGAACGCGAGGGTCGCTCGTGTTTTGGCTTGTTGCCTGCTTGGAAACGCGGGGGTCAGTGTTGGTTGGACCCCTACGAACGCGAGGGTCACTCACATTCAGCTTGTATCTTAGAGACGCGGGGGTGGTTTTGAAACGCGGGGGTCACCTGCACTTCCCAAGTTGTAACGCGGGGATGACATCCGCGTTTTAGAAGGAGCTTTTTGACTTGTAACTTCTTCTGTGAAGCGTTGCGAGGACCGTTGTTCAGTAATCCTGGCTTTAGCTGTTGTAGGGTATGAAAGTCGTCAGATTGTAACTTTCACCGTAGATTGTGAAGACTGCTGAATAGAGTTTTCATCAGTTGTCGGAAGTGTCGTTGAATTGTAACTCTTCTCGATCTATGTGAAAAGTCCTCTATTTGCCGCTTTCGATTGTCAACCCGAAAGCTATTTGATTGTAGCTTTCATTGTGAGAGCTTGACGGGAATCAACATCCATAGTGTTTTGAAGATGAATATTTGCCCACAGCTCTCTACCAAGCAACTATTTGATTGTATGTTTCGATTGTCGGCGCGAAAGCTATTTGATTGTAGCTTTCGTTGTAGGAACTTGACGGGAATCAACATCCATAGTGTCTTTAGATGGATATTTGCCCACAGCTCTCTACCAAGCAACTCACCAACTAAGTCCAACCTTTCATTTCTAAAATCATTACACTGCTCATCAGCATCTCCAATAATTGCTAATATAATATTAGTCGTGCTGTTGTCGCAGCCATCAAGATCAATCATCTCAGAAATGAGGTCGTGTTTGTGGCGATTGTGGAGTTGCGGATGCAGTGATTAGAAAGTCGTCTGATTGTGACTTCCCTTGTCGGAGCTTGATAGGGGTCAGCTATTCATTGTGATTTTTAGACAGCCTACAGAACCCCCTCCAAAGTTTTCGAAAGTTCGCGGTTGACTGGGACGAATTTTCGGAATACTTTGGATCCCAAAATTTAGTGGATTGATTGCTCCCTCCGTCTGATCGAGCCAGATGATTTCACCGTTGTTGGTTGTAATCTATCTGTACTCCTCCAATAGACTCCCCAGTGGAGTCGTTTGTTTCTTCCCGGCTTTGGTCGCCTTGACGATTGCTGTCAGCTCTTCTTTTATTCATCTGGGGCTGTGTCGTAGCCTTGGTAGTCAAGAAGCTGCTATCATAGCGGTCCAAACACAGAGATAATTTCTGCCTTTGGGGATTGGAACGCGTGGGTGAGCCCAGCGTTGGGAAATTTGAACGCGAATGTGGGCATCGCGTTTGGAAGCTCAAACAACTCGAACGCGAGGGTCGAGTTTGGGCAGGCTGATGGCCTCGAATCCCGTCCGTTACGATTATGACAGCTCATAGCTGTCTTAAATAGACCACTAGAAGGTCAAATCAGAAGTCATTCAGACTTACTTATTTTGAAATCTTTTAACTCAAAATTTTCGTTATCAGTCTCCGGCCGAAACGCTGTACACCTCCTCTGACGAGTTAATGGCCACCCAGAAATCAGTGCTTCTAATCGATGCCGCATGCTGCTCAAGGTGTCGGCATCGATCGGCGTCGGCCCGGCGCGCTGCCTGCTCGAGCGCGGAATTGTTATTTTATTTATGCCGCCCCAGCTTCCTTTGATTGGTGGTGAGTATGACCTCCGTGGCCATTAAACTTCTCGGCAAGTTCTGAATCTGGATCAACGAGGAAACTCGTTTCAATAAGCGGGGCTGGACTCCGTCGTTTGTATTTTCTGACGCCGGGATTCAACCTCGCGCTCTCAGATTTTTTACGCGGGGGTCGACCTTGCGCGTTATGAACTTTTTACGCCGGAGTTCGTTCCTTCGCGTTCCAAGTATCTGACGCGGGGTTCGACCTTCGCGTTCTGAACTTATCTTGACGCGGGGTTCGACCTTCAGCCCCGCCTGCAACTTATCTGACGCGGGTTCGGGCCCTCGGTCTGAGCTTAACGGCTTATCTGACGTGGGGTTCGACCTCGCGTCTGAGTCTTGCTTTGAGTTGTCTAACTTCTTCTTTCCTTTCGGCAGTGCCGCCATACAGTAAACTCTTCCTTTTTCGCCACCATTTTTTGGGCAATGTAGGTTGGTGCGGACATGAACATGGCCTTTCAGCTCATGCCCAGAAACTCCCGTTTTCCGAATTAGGGGAGAAGAGTCGCGATAGAATAATTACCAAGCTTCATTCCGCACTCTTTAGGACATTGCTTACGGACGTCCGACTGAAAGCCAAGGTAAGGCAATAGTCAAACCTGGATATCTTTTTCGGGGACTTTGTTGACTTTCGACGCCGCACTGTTATGGTGGGGACTAATAAGTGGTTGCGGAAAGTTGGGGACGCAACCTTCTTGCCTAATATGGAGAGGATTTCCCCATATCTTATTTCCAGTGTGCTTCTGTCCCAAGGCATTATGGATTGGCCCTGGTTAAGGATCAAGAGGGGTTGCTCTCGGACTTTGACTTTTTCACGGGGTCGCACAGTTGGCTTACAACGGCAGGTGACAGCTTTGCGACCGAGGTTTATTGCTAAGTATCCCCTCGGCGAAGTGCCCAGCACGGCGAAACCTTTGTTAAGAGGTTTTTGGAAAAGAAAGAGAATTTCACCGCCAAGGATTTAGAGCTCCTTGGTTGAGGTTCATTCTCTAGTGACGGATGGTGGGCCTAGATGGACTAAGTTTGTTATGAGGAAATTGGAAAGCCCTTTGCGCCAAGCTGGATTACTGGTTTTCCAGTGCGGGCTTACTAAGTTTGGGATTATTTCAGAGCCACTATTCACTTCTATCTCTATATTGGAGAAGTATTAGTCTCGAGACTTTGCACTTTCTTCACCCCATATTAGGCAGAGCTAGGCTTCGCTCTTCACGAGATGCACGAAAGTTCTCAGGTCTTCATTTCTCGGGGACTTTACCTAATTGAAGAATTTGTTCCGGGATCTGCGGACTTAAACTTTTGAAGAAGACCAGCCAGAAATTTACGACTCTCTGGAAGTGATGTGGCACTTTCATATCTGCATGCAGCTGACGGGGGCTCGCGGAAGCGGCATCAAACAAGTGTCTTGGCCGGAATATTTATTCCGGAACTTGACCATTAAAGGAGGCTTTGTGACCCGATTGCCTGTCAGTACTTTGGAAGAGGTTCAGGCTCGTATTGACGACGCTACCTCCCATTACACCAATGAGGCCAAGGAGGATGTTTTCCCGGCTCATACAGAGTTTGAAAGCTTCCATTATCAAGCTCTGATTCCAATTTCCGACGCGGCGTTGCTAGCTGGATTCTTGATGCTGTGGCTCAAACGTTGCGTCGTTCCTACCAGGCCGATCGATGCCCTTGCTATTGAGGTGGTCTACCCAGCTGTTCTCTTAGCACATGGGAGACCTGTGAGCCTCCTCAGCGCCATGGTGGGTTGCTTACAGTATGGACTGCGGGAGTTGGCCTCTGACTTTGTAGGTGTTACAGAGGTGGAGTCTGAGGGTCACAAGACTTTCAAAACTCCCAATCCCAGGGTACCAATGCCATATGCCTATTTGATGGCTTGGTACGTGCTTCACTGTCCTCCTTTGATGAGTGCAGCCTCTCCCCGGGGAGCAGCGACTAGAATCTGCGAAATGGGTGGGGGGGTACATGGTTAGAATTCGCCAAATCCTTGCGCGAGACACCAACTTCCATATCTACCGCTGTTTTCCTGATTTCGAGGGCAGTGTTTATGGAGCAGAATATTAGGATACTACAGGTCCTAATGGATTCACTCAGCTGAGCGGGGGTGTTTTCCACTGGCTTCTATCCATCAGGCCAGGCTATCTGATCTTTCAGCAAGGCGTCAACTGTTTCATCGAGCCTTACCAACCCTATAGGTTTGCTCGCCAATTTGGGTATGATCAGTTGTATGTCGGGAACCCTCGTCCTCAACTCTCAGTTATAGCCAACTTATATGAAGGAGCCAGGGCCTGGTATTATTCTATAGCAGCCTGTACCAAAGCCATCTTCAAGCTTCCCCACCAAACTGCTAACTCCTATACTTCCATCAGCTTCTGTAATTGGTATTACGCTGCTTCTCAGACTCCCAACTATAACTTGAATACATCTTGCCTGAAAGACATTAGACATATGTATAATTTAAGGAAGGGGTCCAAGACATCCCGCTTGAAAGGGATCGATGAGTTTCTGTCCATCGAGAATCAATCTGCTGGACAAGAAGAGGAACAGGCAGCTGAGCCTGCTCCAGGGGAAGAGCAACGAGTGGTTGATCCTCCCGTGACAAGAGCAGCGGGGAAAAGAAAACTTTCTGCTGATGAAGCCAGCCAGTATGATAAGCAGATCCGTCGGAAACTGCTGGTGGATTCTCCCCCCAACGGCCAACAAAAATCCAAGTTGATGGCTGAGGCCATCAAAGCTGCTAAAGATGATGAACCACAGGAATCATCTGTGGCTGGCCTGCCACACAGAACGGGACTTCGTTCTCATGGCCCAGCTCTGTCGGGCGAAGTTTCTTCTTATCATCCTCCTGAGGACGAAGAAGATGAATTAATGGCTGCAGATGCAGAGTCTGCTCCGGTGATGGATCTTCCTAGGTCTCCTGCATTGGAACCAGGGGGTCTTGAAGAGAATCCATTCCCTTCTCCTTCAGCCTTAATGTCACAGACTCATGATTCAATTCCTAGTCCTACAACGGGACTCATGAATAAACCAGCTACTGGAACAGATCTTCTGAAACCTTCCGCGGCTCAGGATGATGAGGAGCATGTTGATTATGACGACTTCCCAACTGGTGATGCAGCTGACGGAGATAGAGGCAATGAGGATGCTGATGTTGGTAACATGTCAGGTGGTGGTGAAGGTGACGAAGAGTATGATTCCATAGATGACGTTACCACTTTTGATGATGATGCTCCCAAGGTCCCGTCTGATAAAGTATCTGGTTATACTCCTTTCTATCTTACCGGTAAGCTTGGTTTGTTTTGACTTCTTCCACATGCTTTCTCCGCGTTCCGACCATTTTTCCGTGCAGGTTCACCTTCTCCAGAGACTACTGCTGCTGATGCTTCCGAGCCAGAACCTGCTCAGGTGTCTGCTCCTTTAGAAGAACAACATTTACCTGGTTCTTCTACGACAACTGCTTCTCCTGCAGCGTTGCCTGAAACTACTGCCGCAACTCCTCCTCTGGAACAGCAACTTGTGCAGGTGTCAGCTCCTATGCAGGAACAGGCCCTACCTGCCTCATCCACCGTAGCTGCTTCATCTACAGCAGTGATGAAGATCTCGCTTGCGCCTACGGAGGCCGGTCCAAGCGAATCTCCGGCGAGGGCAATGATGGCTTTGACTTCAAGCCCTTCGCAATTGAATGTTTCAGTTGCCTCTGCGACTTCTACACCCAAATCACTTGTCAATCCATATTTTGGCGCGTCCACTTCTGGGGTCGTAGAGTCGTCTTCCATTGCTTTTTCTAGTCCAACGGACGCTCCTGACTTCCTCCATATGTCCTTGAGCTACTTAAACAGTCTCGTGCGGAAGGTGATTGAGGTTGTCACAGCTGGTCGAATGGGAAGGGGGGTACATGGTTAGGATCCGCCAAATCTTAGCACGGGACACTAACTTCTATATCTACCGCTGTATCCCTCATTTCGAGGGCGGTGTCTATGGAACAGAATATCAGGATACGGCAGGTCCTAATGGATTCACTTAGCTGAGCGGGGGTGTTAAGGTTGAAGGCCGAGCTTTCTTGCGAAGAGGCTGTTGTTAACACCCTTGGGGCTAAGAACGCAGACACTCTTTTGAACTACCGTAAGGAAGCTCAGGCTCTTGAAAGAGCGAAGAAGGAGGCAGCCGCTGAAGTGGCACCTAGTGAGGATGAGCTGCGGAGAAAAGCTGAAGCCGTTGTGCGAGCCAATCATGAGGAGAAGCTCTCTGATGCCAAAGCTCAACTTGCTTCTTTTGACTTGAACTTGTGCTATTCTTTTGCTTAAGAATAGCTTTGTATCACTTCTTTTTGGTTTCTGAATAAAAAGTGATATTGACTTCTCATTGTTTCTTGCATTTATTATGTTTTGATTTTAAATACAAGTCACGAGAAATGCCTGAGATGTATTCCTGACTTAGAATAGATCTCCACACTGGTTCTGGTGTAGACAACTTTCTTTATTATCGTTTAGGATAACTCTAGAAAGTTATAAACTGCTGAGGATGAATATTCCCATAACGGGGTTGACTAGTAGATTTCTTCCTGTGTTATTTCTTGCGTTGAACACTGAAAGAAATCTATAAGTGCCAGAGGTATAGTTTCAACTTGGCAGGGGGATTATTGCGGTCTGGGCAATTTTGAGGACTTATCGTTCTATTGACGAGAATCGATAAGTTGATTTTATCAGAGGTGTATCTATTGACGAGAATCGATAAGTTGATTTTATCAGAGGTGTAATTTTAACGTGACAGGAGAAATATTGCGATCAGGGCAATTTTGAGGACTTATCGCTCTATTAACGAGAATCGATAAGTTGATTTTGTCAGAGGTGTAATTTTAACGTGACAACTGTGGGGGAAGGATATTATAGCGTCTCACTGGGGAGAACTGCTAAGTGTTTTACTATCGGAGCGATGAATTGTGATAATTGTGATTTGAACAAGGTTTTGGGGAATTTTGTTAACCCGCTGAAAACAGGTTATTTATTGCTTTGCTGAGGAGAGCTAATAAATTGACAATGATTTGGAGACTTATCATTCTATTAACGAGAATTGATAAGTGGATTCTGGGGTGTAGTATTAACCCAATGAGAATTTATATTCTGCTGAAGAGATACAGAGGTTTTGACTAACACTCTGTTGAGAGGGCTCATGACTTTGAGGAAAAAATGTCGTGTTTGAAGACACAAGTGCAAATTCTTTATTTAGAAGAATTGCAACGCTGAGGTGACCTTCGCGTTTGATGTTTGAAACGCGAGGTTCGGGCCTTCGTGACGCTAGCCTGAGCTTTGCACTTGGGAAATTTGAACGCGGCTATGAACTTCGCGTTTTGGAGATGGTTGGGATTCACTCCTAGAATCCCGTGCCATCTTAACAGCTTGACGGCTGTTATAAATAGACCTGAATGGTCACGTCAAAAGTCAATTGACTTACAAAACTTTCGGCTATTTCCAAGAACGAGAACTCTCGTTTGACTACGGCGAGATCTCCGACGAGCTTCGTCTCCCTCGTTCAAGCAGGAACCTTGCCGTCGACATCGTCGCCGCAGGGGCCTCCCTGTCGTGGTGAGTGCTGACTGAAATAACTTGCCTTGGCAAGTTCTCTGAAAACCCTAGATGGGTTCTTGATAACGAGGAAGATGACTCGTTTTAACTCAATGAAAACGCGGGGTTGGGATCCTATGTGGGTCTCGACCCTCGCGTTCAAGTTTTTCAACACGAGGTTGACTCTCGCGTTTGAGGCTTCTGACGCGAGATTCGACCTTCGCGTTGGAGATTTCTGACGCGAGGTTTGACCTTCGCGTTGGGGATTTCTGACGCGAGGTTTGACCTTCGCGTTGGGGACGAGACTTTAACCCTTTGTGTTTCTGACTATGTCTTTATGTCGATAGCTCGCTTCTAGCTACTAACTTCTGCTTTTGATTGTGCAGTGTTTCTCCCAAACGTGCCGCTTTCACAAGAGCACCATTTCGGATATATTGGTGGACCTGACCCGAATGAATTATTCAGTCTTCAGAACAGGATTCCATTGTGTACTTTTCCTGATTCGGAAAGAGCGGAAATGATTAAATTCCCTCAATGCTCTACTCTCAGGATTTTGATAACTGACTTGGACTTGGAGACCCCTGTTGGTCATGCCCAGTTTCCCAAACCAGCATTCATATTTGGAGATCGCATACCAGTCGATGACCATCTCACATATGTGGAAGATTCGAAGCTGCTGTGGAGAGCTGATAATCGCTCTTTATTTCTCCCAAACATGAAGAGGATGTACCCTCTCTCCTACTTTTTGAATGTGAGCTGCCGTCGGGGTTTGACCTTCGACATAGTAAAGGAGAAGGAGAACGTGTCGCTTGGATTTGGTCGACGAGCTCGTACGCAAATCGGGGAACAACTTAAGGGGTTAAAACCTGGTTTGTTTGAGAAGAAAGAGCTGGTTTCGGAGGTGCCACGTCCAGCGAACATTTTTATCCGCTAATTCCTTGCAACTCAGGGTGAATTCTCTACCCAGACGTTCAGGTCCCCTGGATGGGTCTGTTCTGGCGAAGGAGGTTGGTGGACCCGTATGGTTGACTTTGTTCTTGAAGAGCTTAAGGACCCGCTCGCTCGGGGAGTCGTGCAGAGTCTTCATAATTTCTTCGCTATGTTGGAGAAATATAACCCTGACAGCTGCACATTTTTCACGCCTGCTGGAGAGTTAGGTTTTGCTCTTCATGAGATGCAGGCAGTGTCGGGGCTGTCACTTGGAAAAACGCCCTACGAGGAGTTTATCCCCACCACCGAGGAGCTTTCCTTACAGAAGGTGGCGCACCCGGAAATTTACGCTACTTTCTGGGAATTGATGTGCCACTTCCACATATGTGCCCAAGTCTTTGGGATGCGTGGAGGGGGCATTATGCATACCACATGGGAAGACTACCTCTTTCAAAACTTAAATCGGAAATATGTAGCCGTATCCCGTGTCGCAGTTGTCTCACTTAAGGACGCCAAGGCTCGGATTAAGGCTCCTGGTGTTACTTATAAGACAGAGCATGCCGAGGATGATTTTGAAGCTGGTGTCGAATTTGAAAGTTTCCACTACCAAGCCACAGTTCCTATCTCTGACACGGCTCTACTTGCAGGCTTCTTCATGATTTGGTTGAAGCGGTGTGTGGTACCGTCAAGACCAATAGAATCAATATTAGCTGAGGTTGTGTACCCAGCTGTTTTGCTAGCGCATGGGAGACCTGTGAGTCTCCTTACTACTATGGTTGGCTGTATCCAGAACGGCCTGAGGGTATTGACTTCAGAACTTCTTAGTGCTTCGGGAGTCAAAGCTACTAAGAAGAAAGCTGGGAAGGGTCCTCAACCTCGTGTACCAATGCCATATACATATTTAGTGGCCTGGTTCATGTTGCATTGCCCTTCCTTGATGACAGGAGTGCATGAGGGGGATGATTCTTATACTCCCTTCGTACAGAGATTGGAGTCGGCCACGTGGACTAGTTCTTATATAGTCAGGGCTCGACAGCTTCTATCCCGGGAAGATAATTATCGGGTTTTCTGCTGTGCTCCTAACTTTGACAGAGCTGATGTGGAGGATGCCCGTTTCATTGACTTGCTTGCTGAGGGTTCACCTTCTTTGGAAGAGGGCACATTCGGTTGGCTTCTTATGATCAGGTTGGGCTACCTGGTCTATCGCTCGCGGGAGAAGTGCATAATCGAGCCTTACATGCCTTCACGGTTCGCCAGACAGTTTGGATATGACCAACTCTATGTTGGTAATCCTAACCCGGCGTTAGCTCAGATTGGAAATTTGTATGAAGGAGATCGTGCATGATACTTCTTCTCCGCCGGGGGAACCCATGCGCAATTCACTTTACCCAACTCGCCACCCGGCTGTTCTGCTGTTATGGATTTCCGCCAGTGGTTTGCCGAAGCTTCTCAGATCTCGGAATATGACGTTTATACCTCATGTATAAATGAGATTCGGGAATTGTATCGTTCACGGAGCGGTTCTGCGAGTACTCGTCTACCAGGGATGGAAGAATACCTATCTTGTGAACAGGAAGCGACCGGAGCCGTTGAAGCTCCTAAAGACTTGTCCACCGTAGAACCTTCTGAAGAAGAGGTTCCTACGGGAATTGAAGAGGGAAGGCCAATTGATGATTCTCCCGAAGAAAAGACAACTGAGGAGATTCCTGCAGAAGAGCCCGCTCCTACACCTCGTTCTTTAAGATCGGGTAAGGAAGCTCTTTCTGCTACTGAGCAAGGTGAGTATGACAGGAGAATTCGCAAGCGGATACCTGTCATGGCCAAAAATTCCAAAAAGGCCAAATTAATGGGGGCCGCGATGAAGTCTGCGCTCGTTGAGCGTTTAATTGACAGAGAGGACGAAATGCCCCAATCGATTCCTTCGATTCCTGAGGACGATAGAGCTGGAGAGGACCCTTCTTCTGAAGTTGCTCTGACACCTGTTCAGGACGAACATACGGGTTTAATCTATCCAACCCTTTCTCCTCCACGCTCGCGGGCTCTGAAGAAATCGATTGATGAACTGGAACGTTGGATGCAAACAATTATTAATATTGTCAGTGTTGAGGGGGCTTCTCTTGAAGACTGTGCATCTATCTTGAGCCAATGTTTGGACGACATCAAGGCTAAAGGGGATGCATCCTGGACTGAGCACTGTCAAGGGGGAATCACTCTTTTGATGGCAGAATTAGCAGTTTTCAGGGAGCTACAACACACCAATCTAGACTCTGAAGTGGAGCCGGCTCTTTCCTTGGCGATAATCTCGAGGGCGCATCACCCATGGGCTCTTCGCAAGGACCTGTCTGATAAAAAGGCCCGCATATCAGCTTTGAGGAAGCAGCACTCTGCAACATATGCTAAAATCAAAGGTGTTGCTTCTGATATCCGTGGTATTGAAGAGACTATCACTCGGTTAGAGGCCGAGTTGGACCAGAAGAAAGCCCAATTGGCCCACTATGAGGATGTCAAAAAAGAGCTTGAGCATCAAAGTGGCCAAATTTATACGGAATTTTGCCGTACACTCCATGCGGCTGAGCGAACTCGTAAGGACATTGTTACTACCCTTCCTATTGAAGCAGAACTCAGAAAGGAGATCGAGGGACAAGTCCAAGCGGCTCACCGGGAGAAACTTTCTGCCTTCAAGTCTAGGCTAAAAACCCTCAAGTTAATGAAGCCTGATGTTTAGCCCTTGACTTGTTCTTGCTAAAGAATTTTGTATCATTTTCCCTTTGTTTGTCATTATTTTGTATTTAGATTAACAACATTGAATGAAA